AAACATTGTTAGAAGCAAAACAAGAGTGTATATGAACTGTTCATAGATGAAACTGACTTTGTGTCATTAGATGAAGGTCATTGTACGATTCGTATAAACAATATTGTCAAGAATATGGTTATATGGCAGCTTCTAAACGAACATTCTTGGCAAATGTCAAAAGTCTTTTAGATGTTCAGAATGGTGTAATACAAAGAAAATTTTTCTGAGTAAATTTTAAAAAAATATTTTTTATCCGATAGAAAAGATGACGAAATTCATCTCAGTAAATAAGTACATGACAGAAGTCAAAGATAAGTTAGCTCCATTCGCATATTTGAATGTTTACTTCTACAATTTGAAAAGTCTACATTTGACAAAATTTGGAACATTGCACCAGTTAAGTTTGCTGTTGTTAGAAAAAAGTGGTGCAACTTTTGAAGACTTATACATTGACGGTATGTGACAGTCAAAGAAAATTTTGACAGAAAGTTCTCAAAACTCGAAGAAGGTAAAGCATACAAACTTGTTATACCTTATGAACCAAAGAAAGCAGACGACTATGAATATTATGAGTCTAAGATAGTTGAAGTTCAAGGTAAAATTGGGTAAAAAGATTTAGAGTCTAAGCCAGTGTTTACTCCTAAAGAGGAAAGAACATTGACATTGACCCAGAAAATGTTCTAAAAATAAAATTTTATTTTTTACATGTCAAATTTCTTTTTCTCTGGAACTGGTTCAGGTTCTTTCTTCTCTTCTTCTACTTTCTTTTCTTCTTTTCTCTCTTCTTCTTTTCTGGTGGAGTTATGTCAAATTTGGCGCAACCATATTTATGTAAAAGTTCTTTGTCCTTTAATAGCTCATCTATTCTGTTTTCTATTTCATCTTCAAGAACAGCGCATGTGTCTTCTTTGCATTCTAAGAAGTTTTGTTGGACTTTCATCTCTCCAAGAGGCTCATCTCTGTCAACAAGTCTGTCATTGACAAATTTTAAGACTGCTCTGCTTAATTTTTATGTTCTTGTCATATTCCCAGAAACAGAACTTTAGAAACAAATTCACCTTTCTTGTTTACACTATGTAAGATTTTATGGTCGACAGATGTTTTAGAGTCAAAAAGCTTGTCTCGAATATAGATAGCGAAATCACTAGACATTTTCTAAAAGATAAAAATTTTAATTTTTCTAAAAATATGTTAGAAAAAAAAGTTTGCTGACATTGACAAGAAATTTGAGAATGTTTTTAAACAAGAACAAGAGGAAGTTAGAAAATGCTCAGATAAAGCCTATACATGAAAAGTTCTTATTTGCTCAGAATGGTATAACAGGTCTAATCGCACCACCTGGGTCGGGTAAGACTTTCACTTATCTTAAAATGGCTGCACAACAACAAGAACTAGATGAGAAGAACCCATTCTATGAGTTAGTTGTTATTTGTTCGACTTCTGGTCAATTTGACCAAACCGTCAATTCGTTCAAAGATATTATAAAGAAGTCTAAGTTAGTATGTATAAAGGATACTGAGTTGTTAGATTGGCTAAAGAAGTACCAAAGAAGAGTTTTGAAGTATAATGCTATAAATGAGTATATAAATTCTAAGTTTAAAGACCCAAATGAGGAAATGCAGAGAATATTAGAGAAGAAACACTTCAGAAACAAACAGAAAGAGATAGAATACATTTCGAAGAAATTGCAATCTTACGATTGGAAGACATACCCTCATAGATGTCTTCTTATCTTAGATGATTTCGCCTCTCATCCTTTGTTAAAGAATAGAGAACAAGACATGTGTCGAATTCTTAAGAAGCTCAGACACTTTAACATCTCAGTCGTAATATGTGTACAGACAGCCAAGAGTTTAAGTAAGGATGTTAAAAGAATACTTACTGACATAATACTTTTCCCCGGATTGTCCGAAGACGATTTCATGGAACTTATGAAAGAGTCCATGGCAGGTAAGTTTGACAGACATGAACTATGGGAGAAGTACAAAGTCATACAAGACCCTCATACTTCTTTCAGAATTCATATCTACGCAAACAAAGTTCAAATTGTAAAAAGTCAAGCTTGAAAAATGTAAGTGTTTAGTCTTAGTAAGTCTGTTGTGGTGCTGGGGCTGTCGGTTCTTCTGGCTTTGGAAGGCATTCAGGAAGAGGAACGTCAGTCATCCGTTTGTGTCCTGTCGGAAGGAAAAATTTTTCCTGTTGGAAGGAAGAGTTCTTCCTGTCGGAAGGAAAATTTTTTCCTGTCGGATGGAAAATTTTTTTCTGAAGTTCGACCAAAAAGTTCTCAATTTTCGAAAATTTGAATGGTTTACGGACGGACAACTGGAAAATTTTTTCCTGTTGGAAGGAAAATTTTTTCCTGTTGGAAGGAAAATTTTTTCCAGTTGTCGGGAAAAATTTTTCCTGTTGGAAGGAAGAGTTCTTCCTGTTGTCGGGAAAATTTTTTCCTGTTGGAAGGAAGGACTCGGAATGCCAGAAGGATTTGACGAGGCAATTGCTTGAAAAATAAATGGTTCATTTACTCTGCTTGTTTGAAGTTGTCAAAATACTCTGTTATTTTTTCCTTTAACAATGGCAAATCTTCTTTGAATGTAAGAATTGTACAACCTTTAATATCATAGTGTGTTTGAGGTAACGTATCTTGAACTATTTGTTTCACATCTTCATTCGGTGTCATTGAAATCGGTAAGTTTTCGCGATAGAACCAATTTCTGTCAGATTTGTAAATCTTAGCAAGGTCGTAAAAGCTTTTGTTGTTTCTTCTGACTAAATGCAACATAACCATATCTTTATCTTCTTCATTTTCCATCTCTTCAGTATAAATCATATACTTATAGTTCTTTTCCTTTCCTTTTGGTACCGAACGTGGTATTCTTTTCTGAATGCTTTTGTCTTTTGCTTCAAGCTTGTTCTCTAGCTCTTCACGTTCTTGTCTATGAATTTCGTCAAGAAGTCTGTAAATATACCAAGCATAACGAGGCGAAGCCCACATTGCAACAGCATTTACAAGAAGTCTATGTACATAATATCCTCTCAAACCGTTTGGCAATTTTTTACGATTTTCATAGAGTTTTGGCGACCCCGAAAAAAGTCGGGCTCGCTGTTCTTCACTGTTTTCATGAGTTTTAGGCGACCCCGGTTTTTTACCTACTCGCTGTTCTTCACTGTTTTCAGAAAAAAGTCTGTCTCGCTGTGCTTCGCTCAAAAGTTCTTGTGTGCTTTGGTTTTTGAACCAATCGTCTGTATGTTTGGTATCTGGAGCATAACATGCTGTCAAAATACTTTGCATTTGGTACATATCGTCTTTGACCGAACGAATGAGACGGAGTTGTTTGTTAAACTGAACCCACTCATATTCTTCACTTATAGCTTCATGAACTATAACTGTTGTTGTGTTCTCTGTTGTTGACATATCTGTCTTTACATACAAAATAAAAAAATAAATAAAAATAAAACTAACTTTATTTTTTCTATCTTTCACAAAAGACCAAAAATAAACGCTTTACATGTATTTTTCAGCAACTTCGTCAAATAATTTTATAGCTTTATCTATCTCATCTACTTCAAACGTTTCTTTACCTTTTATGGGAGCACCATACATTTTCTCAAACTTTTCAAGTAGTTCTGTTTCTGCAGCTCTCATATCATTAACAAACACAACCTTGACTCTATTGACTGTACTGTCATATCTTTGAGTTATATTATATGTTCTTCCTATCTTATATCTCTTTGTATTGAAGTCCTTCGGTTTCTGAACGATGTAAAGTAAGCCTTCACTGCAACGTTCTGAGTCGAATGAACCATATGTTATGAAGTTATATCCAACAACTGGGTCTAACCATAACAAAACTATTGGTATAAGACTTTTGTCGATGAGATATGCTGCAGTTCCATAGAATCTTACCGATATCATAAGCTCAGGATTTCTTGTCAAAATTTTCTGAGTTGAAGCATTTCTAACCCAGTCCTTTGTTTTCTTTCCAGATGGAAATATAATGTCTGACAAAGAATATTTGTTGTATTTCTTTGAGTATCTTACGTTTAAATCACCTATTCTAACCAATTTGGTGTCATTGTCTATCTTTCCAACTGTTTCAAACTCAATGTTTGACATATCTGTCTTTACATACAAAATAAAAAAATTTGTTAGAAAAAAACTAACTTTATTTTTTCTATCTTAAGGAAATTCTTGCGATTTTCGTACGGAATTCAGCAAAAATAATGTTTATGTTAGAATGTTAGATCTAACATGTTTTCTAACACGTTTTCTAACAAGCCCTAAAAATTATTTTACTCAGAATTTTGTTGCTGAATTCAATAAAAATATATTTTAGGTGAAGAGGTGACATCTCACCCGTTTTCTCACCTGTTTTCTCACCTGTTATTTTATAACCGTTTTACATGAATTGTACGATGTATATTTGAAATCTTAAACAGTTTCGTAGCTTCTATTTCTTCTTTTAGTACATCGAATGTTTTAACGATACCGAAAGTTTTCTTATACTTCTTCTTGACGTCAGATAGAAGGAAATCTTCTGCTGTTGGATAGTTTTTGTTCAGAAATTCTAACATGTTCATTTTATTTTCTGCTGGCTTTTCTGCTTCTTTCTTTAAGTCTGCATAGTCGTTTCGCATACGTTCTATCTCTTTGACGGAGTAGTTATATTTCCTCATTGCTGCTTTACATTTAGAACATTGCGGGTTCATTTTTGCGTTATATTCTGAAACCTTACCTGCTAAAACAACTAAGGCGTCAATGGTTTTCTTTAAATCTGAAGCAGTTGGTTTTATCTGTTCATTCCATACCTTACCTCTTCTATCTTTATCTCTTATCTGCCATACACATTCTGCAACTAACGAAACAAAGTTGTCGTAGGTCTTAAATTCTTCGGATTTATATATGTCAGAAACATTCTTATAAACCATGTCGCAATCTTTGTCCATAACTTTATGGTTGCAATGAAAACCAAGGAATTCATAATTTACCTTTCGTATGAACTTCTTTATTTCTACTGAGTCAGTTGGTTTCACTTCAATTTCGTCGAATTCAGGAATAGTGAGTTTTTGTTGTTGGATTTCAGGCAATTTGGGTAAATGGTCAATAATGTCCTGCATTTCATAAAGATACTGTTCATTTGTTTCATCTTTCGCACTACAGTCTAAATTACTTGTTAACAGTTCTTGCTTTATCTTCTGAATTTTTGTTTCGAAAGTATATGAAGAAGGAATGAAGTTTTTCATTTCTACCAACATTGACGTAGGATTCATAACTAACGAGTTTGGTGCTGTTGTTTGTATTGTTGTTGTGCCGATTGTTGAAATCATATTTTTTATACAAAATAAAAAAAATAAATAAAAATAAAGTTAGTTTTATTTTTTATTTCGGGAAAATTCATGAGGTGAGAAAACAGGTGAGAAAACAGGTGAGATGTCACCACTTCACCTAAACATTATTTTTGGGTCATTTACGCTCATTACGATGAAGTTTCGACAAAACATGTACGATGAAATCATGACAAAACATTTACGAAGAAGTCTTGACAAAACATTTACGAAGAAATCATGAAAATTCATGAGGTGACAAAACATATACGTTCATGTTTGACAAAACATTTACGAAGAAGTCTTGACAAAACATTTACGTTCATGTTTGACAAAACATTTACGATGAAATTCATGAAAATTCATGAGGTGAGAAAAGAGGTGAGAAAACGGGTGAGATGTCACCTCTTCACCTAAAATATATTTTTACTGAATTTAGCAACAAAATGAACGAGGTCAGGATGTATGTTGCTGAATTCATTCATAACACCCTTTGTAAGCTCATAAAATGCTTGTTTTGAGGTCGAGCCACTTTTGGCTCCACCGTATTCTTTCAACCTGAAGCATTTAATATATGTAAAAATATATTGTTTTAAATGGTATGCCATATAGCTTCTTGAATTTGTTAAGAAGTATTCGAACGTATTTTCCATCTGTATCTCTAGTGTTTACATAAGCATAGCCTTCCTTAGTAAAATATACTTGTAATTTCCTATAGTTTACGCCGGTATAAAAGTAGAAGAGTCTTGTTCTTCGCTATAGTAGTAAAACTCAAACGTATGCTTGCCATAGTCTGTAATTTCAATTGTTTCATCTTCTAGTTCGTCGACAAATTCGAATACAATATCTCTAAATTTACCTTTGTTCTTATTGTTTTCAGAATAAGTGACCCAACGTAAGTTTTCAAGTCTATTGTCGTTTCTATATGGTTTATATGGTCTACAAAAGGTAAATTGTTAGGATTCAGTATAAAATGAGTTGCAATGACAACATGTTTAAGATAGTGTTTTCCACCCATCTTCATATCAGCAATATCCGTCATTTCGCTCCATTCGCTTAAAACTCTTTTTGTCTTTTTGTTTCTGACTTCAAATGACTCACAACAGTGAATTTCATATTTCTCATCTAACAAACAAGTTTCCCAACGGTCTTCTCCAACAAACTCAGCGTACATTTCAAATAAAATAAAAAAATGTCACTTTTTTAAAAAATAAATTTTTTTTATTTCATGCAATGTTTAACACATCGAAAGGCATGTTCATAAGACGTTCTTCTTTCTAACCTCTCTAGTCTGTTTGGATAATTGGCACGTGCTTGTTTCCAAATCCATTTCGTAGCGAAGACCAGACAATTTGTCATAGACTTTTATGGGTCTTCCCTTCCTATATTTAAAATTCTTCGAAACTCTCTCAACCATATCTTTGTAACTCTGCTTTTTATTCTAGCAGACTTTCTATCCATTCTATATGGGGGCATTTTTTATAAAAAATAAAAAAATATTTTTTTCTTTACTTTACATAACCTGCCTGCCATAAGTCTTTGACGCCAACCCATACCAGCTAATGAAGGTTGACTTGGTTTAGTTTGGAAAACTAAACTTTGGTTTTGGTTTATCTTCAGTTTTTGGTTTTTCTTCTTCTATCGGTTTTTTCGTCACTTTTCGGTTCCGCTGACTTTACCCCACCTGCAGGAACAGTTGTGTCGTCAACATCTTCATAAATATCATATGCCATTTGTTTTTGTTTTCCTTTCAACTTTTTGTGTTTGTTGTAAAGTTTAGAATATTTCGACTCTAAGTCAATGAGATGTTCTATAATGAACTGTTTGGTCAGTGAAGTAAACTTTTCCATCTGTTGTCTCGAAAGCTCCTTCAGACTTCAATATTTTATTTGTGAGAGTCTGTTTCTTTTTTGAGATACTAGCCGTTCCATTTCTATGAAAAGTGACTTTATAGTTAGGGTTTGTATTTCCAGACCTGGCACTTTCTATTATTGAATTTTTCTCTTCATCTGTAAGTTCTTTGACAGGTTTTGACAATGGTTCTGAACTTTTTGTTTGTGGTGTCAAATCTACCGTTTCAACTTCTTCGGTCATTTCATCTCAGTAAAAAATTTTAGTTTGGTTTGTTTTCAACTGGTTGTTTAGGTTTTTTAAGTCGGTCTAAAACTTCCTGAGGTATAGGAAGAACTTGACAAACACGTGGTGTAACTGCTGGAAGTCGACAAATCCATCTTGAACCCATTTGTCTCAATGCTGTATTGTTCATTTCATCTCAGTAAAAAAATTTTACATTCCCCAAGTTTGAGGTGGTTGCGGTTGGTTATTGTTTACCCACTGTTGTGCATGGTTATATCCTCTGTTAAAGAATCTTTCACCTTGGTCCATATAGTGTCCTGCTTGGTTATAGTAGTCATTTGCTTTGTTTAATAGTTTCCTGCTTGTCTTCCTACATTGTCCATCCATCCTTGAACTTTCCTCTTGTTTCAGGATTTGGAATAAGATTTGTTGCATCTCGTGCTACATCCCAACCTTTCTGTACAGTTTGTATAATAGGTTGTGCTTTCTCTTTAAGTATACCTAATGTACTCAAAATCTTCCTTCCAATTCCAAAAGCACCTCTAGCTATTGTTCCCACTGCGGGCAAAAATCTGGATGCAACTCCTGCTAATGCGCCAAATAAACCCATTTCTTATAGGGTAAAAAATGACGAATCCAAACAAGGACCCCTATGTTTCTAAGGCAACAAAGAAAGCACTCATGATAAAAATCTTTAGTTCAACACCAAATGCTTGGTTTATGGATATCTTGGAAAACATTCCGAGGTATAGAGAAGATGGACCACCATACTGGCTAATATTTGTTGGTCAAAACAACAAGATACTGTGAAGCCATACCATTATGGTCCAAAAATATTTTAGATGTGAAAACTGCTTTGGCAATATTCGTTGACAAATACCATCCAACAAAACTGACATCTGACTGTGAAAGTTCTTTCAAATCAGATGATATTAAAAACTATCTGCGTTCAAAAAATGTAAACCAATATTTCATTGTCGACCAAAACCATTCTGCTCTTGGTGTCATTGACGGTTGTATAAAAATGTTAAGAGACTTAAACCAACCACAAGGTGGTGAAGCAAATGAAATGTCATATGACGACAAGTATAGACACTTCTCCATGGCAAAGATGAGACAAGTTTTAAATATTTACAATAACCGTAAACAAAAAGGTTTGGGAAACCACTCCCCCGAAGAAATGAAAAACAACCCTGACTTAGAGAAAGACTATATATTTAATAATTTAGTCAAAAGAGACAAACAAGAAAGAATGCCGGGCTTCAAACTTCAGAAAGGTGACAAAGTAAAAATAGAAATACCTAAACGCGACCCATATGAAAATACTATTGACTATGACAACAATGGGAACTCGACAGGTACTCACATTCGTGTTCGTAAAAATAGAAGAAAGTATACAAGAGAATATTATGAAGTTTTAGGCAAACATGGCAAAATGTACACACTGCAAGCAGAAGATAAAACTACTATTGCCAGACCTCGTTTCAAACTTGTCAAAGTTCAAGGTGGTATACTTTCAAAGACAGTTCCTAACAAATATAAGACAACTCCTGACGAATATGCTAAAGAAGTTGAAAATGACGACTAAGCATTTCTATACCATGCGTAAACTGTCATGTAAGGTGGCATATATTCTTTACTTTGTCCCGTTGTTTGCGTATATCCTGTAACGCGATGTGTATGGTTTCCTCCTCCCTCAGTGTTACTCCAGTAACAATCTATAGCAAACTTAACGTTGTCTTTAACATCATATCCTTTACCTTTTGTCAAGCTGTGCCAATCCCAATATCTATGCTTATGCCAACCTGCTTGAGATGTACTTAAATCTATGTAGTGACTGTGTGCAGGTAGATTTTCACCTGAAATCGTTTTACTTCCACCTGTTTCCTTTGAAGAGTTTGCACAATACAAAAACCTGTCGACTATTTGAGTCCAAGTTCCAAAACCCAGAACTGTTTCTGGTCTGGTAGAGTTCATTGACGTATAAATAGAGCCTATAGGATATAATGTTTGAAGTATTTCTGTCTTTAATGTTTGAAGCTCTGTTTTGTCTGCTTTCTTGTCATATAAATCTTGAGCAGTGAATTTAATATTATGTTCATCCTTCATGACATAAACATCTTTACATCTAATGTTTCTCATCGTCGTTATGTCGTCATCCGATGTTAAACCTTGTGGAAAGTTAGGAGGTTTCCAATATAATACATCCCCACCAGTTTCTTCAACCGTTCCTTCAATACTTTCTATACCAACAGTTGTGAAGAAATCATGTGTATGGTTCTTGTCTGCTTTCTTTTCAAGGCTAACGTTTAAGTCTGTTATTTCAGAAGATGTATGTGTATGTCCAACGGCACTTTTCCTGTTTAAGGTTTCTTGTAAGTTTGTAATATCAGATATAGAATGTATATGAGTCTTTTTAGAATATTCGTTTTCAGCTCTTGTCACTTCACTTGACATTTTATTGTCAACATATGTTTTGTCTGCTAGTTCAGGATGAGTATGTTCTTTTGTTGCATAAGCATTGTTAGCTCTTTCTTCTTCTTTTGCTATTGCATCGTCTACATATTCTTTGTCAGCTTTGTTGTCAACATCTGCTTTCAAAGAAGTTCATTTATAGGTTTCTCGTTTAAAGTTCCTTTTGTTGGATTTATACAGACAGTATTGTTCTTCTTGTCTTGAAATAGAAACTCATCTGTCATTGGGTTTAATGTCAGTTTTAAGTTTCCTTCTTTCAATGACTCAGATATCTTAGAATAGTTTGAAAAGTTTGTTGTGTTCTTATTTAGAGCTTGCATAATGAGTTGTCGGTTGTGTTGTATTTCTCTTATGGAAGCAATATCTTTCGACATTTTTAT